AAAATAAGAGCCTCTCATCTTTTCAATTTGCTAAGATATTTCTTATGTAATAAATCAAACACCCACCCACCTCTTTCCATTTTTGGAAACACTCCCTTATATATACTTACTTCTATATATGACATCAATAACCAAGTGGAAGCTCAGAATATCCCCCTAGTGGCTCTCTCAGCCAATTTAACGGTCTTGGCACCATTTCTTTCTTTTGAACCAATATTCCAACAAGATAGGGTGTGTCTTCAGTCTGCTCGAAACTTCATTTTTTTAGACTAAAGTACATCTGTTACTAAACTTGATAAATTATAGTGGAATTCTATCATATTAATATAGTAATCTATGATTTTTTAGTTATTCAAATGTATATATAAAACCTAAAAAAAATGTTTTGTTTCATATCCTCCATGTGCAAATTTTTTAAAGGCTTAGCAACCTACGTCAAGCAGCAACCAAGTACAAAGGTCATAACTAGAAGACTTTACTTTTTTAGTTACTGTTCTATGTTTTAAGAATAGCATGTTTAAGAACGTATTTTAAAATAGCAATAATCTATATATATAATGTATAATAACTGAAATGTAACTGTATTTTACAAAATACTAGTCTACTAAAACACAGCCAAGACAAGTTACTTTGTACACACCAAAGGTCAGTTTTATGTTATTTTATATAGTTTCGTGAATATGTGTGAGCCGCATCATTGTAACCTCTGTATTGTTAGCCAGACACAATTGAAAGGTCAATATAATAAAGATAATAAATATATATAAATTTATAATGTTATGAGATTTAAGTTATTTAGTATAAACATTTATATTTTTGTGTTATAATATGTGTTCATTCTAGAATGAAAGAGGCAAAATTTATATTTATTTCCTAATTGTTTATGGTGGTTGCGAGATCAGTCAAATCAACCAAACCCGTACAGAGATTAATTACTGAAAATAACAGATAAAATATCGTTTTTCTTATGAAACGTTTGATAACTATTTGGACATTATAAAGATTTTGCATGTGAAATTTCAAAATTTTCTGATGCATGATAGATAGGCAACATGTGAAAAGAAAATAATACACATGAAAAAACATTGCTTTACAAACCTTAAGACTTAATAAAAAAAAATGTATTTTACATATGAAAGCATTGTAATGTTTACTGATAATCTGCCAAATTTTGTTAACATTTGCTTAATTAATTTAAAAGTTATAGCATGAAAACTATAACAAGCACAAAATGGTTACAAGGTCGGTCCCAGGGACCAAGCCTGTGCTGAAAGAGTTAATACAACTTTCATTTCAGTAAGGAGCATCATACAAGTTAAAAAATTGAATTTTCTAGGTGAGTGACATTTAATGTGTAATTTCATTTAAACACTGTAAAATGGTTTCTGTTAACAATAGAAAAAAAATTTGGCACTCCTTGAATGCTGCCTGATGAGCTTTTGTACACAGTCATCATTATTTATTTATGTTACACAATGTCAAAATGGTAGTACTGGTTTACTTATTGTTAGAAAGTTCGAGAAGAAAATTTATTTTCATGTAGTTTTCATTATATGCAATTAGGTAAAAAAATAATAAAATATCTCACCGCTATTTCACTGGTCAATTGACTTTTTTTTTTACAGATCAAATGCCCAAACTTCAATTTAAGTACTCGACTTCACTAGAGGTATTATGAACAAGATTTTACAATTATTCTTTTACTCTGTATCTTATGTTTCAAAAGTTCATCAAAAAACAAACTCTTAGAGTTAACCTTACAATTGTCATACACTGATATACCTTTAAATATTGATATATCCTCCTTTATAAAAATTACATTAATGTCAATAAAGTACATTCCCAAAATAGACACTTTATCACTAAAAGCTAATATCAATGAAAATGTGTAAGTTGACTGAAAGCCACTAGATCACCTTCAACTTTACCCTTACAGTAGAAACTATTACATATGTCCACAATTCTTGAGCTCTGACATAAATTGTACCAACTAGAACAGAGTATAAATTACCATGAGGGTCTCTATAACTGGGAAACATACAGGTTAAAACAACATGCTAAGATTACATGTACTCAGTAAATACCCATGTCAAATGGAGGGAGTGAACCCATTGAATAAACCCTATCTTTTATATATATTCAAATGGTAGTAAAAGTGCATTTAGTTTATTATTCAAAAATAATAATAAAAAACATGGGGATTTATATTGTACCAATTTACATAACACATTAATACTTCAAAATTAAGATTCACAAAATTCAAACTTTCATTTATAATACTTCTCCAAGAATATTACAATTATAATTTGGGTTTCAATAAACTACTTGGCTTCTGAAGTATTACACATTAAATAAAGTGTAACTTTAATATTTTTTTTTACATTTTATTATGTCTATATTTATAATTACACAACTGTATTTTTAATGTTGTAAAAGTAGATGCAGATCAAGGGAGTCTGCCCTCCATTTTTCTCAGAAATTAATAACTGTATTCTTTAATATTTTACAAGCAAGCACGAATCTAAGGGAGAACTGCAGGGAAGCCAGAACCAACTCCATTTTCCAGAAATTAACAAACAGCCAGACATCCTTATACTAACATACAGTATCAAAAATGAATATTAGGAGTTACTTGTTTGGGCTATTAATTACCATAAAAGCTTTTTCTGAGCTTCAATGAAATCAGCAAAGCTATAGTCTATACCAATCCAGTCAAGACCTTAGCCAATAACTGATTATTTCTAAGGTAACAGAACAATATGAATGTCAATTAAGTATTACCATAGTAAATGTTTGTGCTTTGGCTTTTTCCAGACACACTAACAATGTGTCTAGACTTTAGAGACTTGTATTCAAAGTTCCTATTGTTCAGGCTACTTACAGATTTTATAACAGTTCCAGAATTAATTTTTTTCATTGTTTAGAAGCACGAATTCTCATGAGAAAGCTGGTTTTCATATTATTCATGTCCAAACTAAATGATAATACAAATGGTATAACCATATCAGTTACGAATTAACAAAATCACTTACAGAAGACATTAATTTTGACTTGTATAGGTTAATTTAAGACTATA